AGAACTCATGGGCCAATACAATAATTAATTAATTAATTAGTGTATGTAATAAAAAAAAAATGAATAGCGTAGAGATACAAATAATTGCAAATACATTACTCAGGCTTACGATTAACTCAAAAAACAGTGCAATAAAAATTCGTCACTACGATTATGATGATTTAAAAGAGCTTGCTAAGTTACATTCGAAATAATCTATTCTTAAAGCTGAATACAGAGTTAAGATAGTACGCGCGAAAACTGTAGGTGGTAAGGCGTTCCAGGGGTTAAAAATTTCAACGTGAACAGCTAGTCCATAGTAATCGGTTCGTGCCCAATTAATTTGAAGATCTAGATTAAGAAGTACGCAAAGAAAGACTTACCCATGCACACTTAATACGCATCTTTATACACGACACGCAACACGTCAAAGTTGCAGACACACGCGCATATCAATACAGAGCTACGAGGGAAGCAGTTTTATGTTTCCGCGAAAAAATATGATTATTAACAAACGAGGAGAGTCTTGCGCGGGCGAATCTATTTCGAGTAATTAGTACAAAGAGAAAAAGAAAAAAGAAAAAAAAAAAAGAAAAAGAGAAAGGAAGGCCTCCTGCGTGCCGCAGTTCTTATTTTACGACGTATTCTTTCGTGTGGACGCCGGTGGGACTCCTCTCTTCCCTCCCCCCGTTTGGCCATTTCATGTTCGCTTGGACGTTTATGTATGGCACAAGTACTCGTATACACTCGCGTGTACGTCAGCTAGTAAACGCGTAGAAAGGAAGTTGGTTTTTTTATCATGCCATCCTTTCTGCGTGTAGGTAAGCAAAGAAAAACCTTATGTTCGGAAAACCTTCCGGATTTGGTAGAAAAGCCGTTCGAATGTTTGAGTTTATCGACAACACTACGATACAAAACATCCACTTGTAAGCGATACTTAGCCGCAGAGGAAGACACGCGTCGTTGGTGTGTGTATATGAGCGACGGCGCCGCAAAATTTTATATCCCGCTTGTGCCCCCCGGTCCCTCGCGTCTCTTTGCGGAGGGGCCGGCAGGGGCGAGATGACGAGTGCACCCGGGCGAATTTTATGCGCGAGCCGTCCGAGACGGGAACATGACGAGAGACGGAGAGAAAACGAAGAAGGAACGGCAGACACGTTTATGCGTACGGTCCCGAACACATATAAATATATCGTTTTGCACGCACATGCATATATATACATATACATATATGTACTTGCGTATACAGAAATGTACGTGCAGACGCGAATAGTCGGATGGCACGATAATCGGCTGTGTACTGTATACCTACTGCGCCGCACTAGACGGTTATATGAGCGAGATTTTCGAGATCCGGTGACGTGGAAACTAAGAAGGAGACGAGACCAAAAGCGATAAAGAGAGAAACGCACAATATAAACGCAAAGGAAGTGCTCTCTCTCTCTCTCTCTCTTTCACTGCGCTTCTTTCTATCTTTTGCTGTATAATTATGCCGTTGGAACTTGGAATTCAAGAAATGACGCGTTACCTCCCGTTTTATGGTTTTCCGTTCAAAAGAACAAATAAAAAATTGTGCTCACTAATTTTCAATCACGCTTTGGCAACTTGTTTCTATAAATATTTTCCATGTGCCACATCCTCGTTTCCAAGCGTTTCAGAATTTGACGTTCAACTGGGATGCTATCTCATTAGTTTCGAATGATGCATCCTTCCTATTCTGCTTGATGATTGAAAACAATTTTTTTTTTTCAATACTTCCAAATAATTGTAGAATCACTTATTTCTGACGATGTGAATTACTGTTGGATTGATATTAATATGACCTGATCATTGATAATTCCAGAAATTTAACTATAATAACTTTTGCGAGAACAAAAAAATTATCCAATACATTAAAAAAAAAAAAAAAAATTGTACAATGTAATTGAACGATCTGAGGATATGTTGATGAAATTTTATGTACAATTTGAGTGTAAGGACGAAGGTAGGTAATGAAAGAAGACGAGTGCACTTGAATCTTTTGTGGTGCCTTTACAAATGTCCCTTTCGTCGCTTCTATGGATATGCCATTCATGTAAAAAACAAGTATACTTTGTAATTCGTTTGGACCTTTTTCTGCGCTCGAGTTCTCCACATGTAAAAGGGTTGTATACTCAAAAGAAATACGTTACTACGGTGCTCTTTACACTGAATTATACCTTTACAACAACTTAATTAAGGTTACCCAATACATTTAACACTGCATTCAGTGTGAATCCTAAAAGGACATTTCCAAAATCAAGATATTCAAAACGTTACTTAAATTGTCTCTTTTATTGATAAGGTTTTACTATTTTTATTCGTTTGTCTATTAGATTCGAACGAGCTACAAGCTTTACGTAAATATTTTACAGCTATTAGGTAGTAATAATTTCCATGAAAAATATAAAATAATCAAAGTTGAGCAGCACAAATTAAACATTCTTGCACAAGTGTTCTCACCAAAAATACATAAACAGCCCACTCGTAAGGGGGAAAAAGTCATTATGTCGAAACTATACAGTTTGCCTTCGAAGTGAGAAAAATCCAAGGAAACGTTATTGCATTGACTATAAAATTTAAATTACTATCGATACATAAGTACCAATATTTGGTTAAAGACTATAAGCATCATACCATCAACGAAATTTTAACAAAATTCCTATATTGTAGTATCTGCAATGATTCTGCAACATCAATGTGTAAATATCACTTAAAACATTATACACAACTTTCATCACTGTTTAAGTACTAGATTGATTTAACATAATCAGTCATATTCAGGAGTTAAAAATGAACTTGATTACGTATTAAAAATTAAAGTTAAAAAAAAAAATGTGTTACAAATACCCTCAGTCAGGTTTACATCTCATTCGTATCAAAAGTCCAAGATATACTTGATGTGTCAATGGGTAGGTATTAATTTACATAAAAGGGGTGTATATATCTGTATGGGTGGTTGCGGTTGAATTTCGAGTCCCGATAATGTATATACGTACGGTAAATTTTTCTGTAAGAGTAAGTGTGTCCTATGGATCCAAATGCCCGGTTGTCATTGTTTCTAGCTCCTGTAAGATATACGGTGCAGGGAGACAAGGAAACGAGAAGAATACAAGAACGCGAGAATCAAAATTAAGACAAGAGAGCGAGAGAGAGAGAGATAAGGAGGGATAGAGTGGACACACGCAAGAATAGCACGTAATAAAGGAAAACGAACAACGAGAGACAATGGAGAACATTGTTGTAGGGAAGGAGAAAAAAGAAGGACGACAACGAAAAAAAAAAAAAAGAAGCGCAAGTGAAAGTGCAGCATTAAATAAAAGGACACACATACATCCAAAATGAAAAAAAATGAGAGAGCAAGAACAAGAAAAAAGAGGATAAAAGACAAGGAGCAGTGAGAGAGATACATATGTAACACTGTATGCAAGCGTGTACATGAGAAATTCTACAAAAAAATGATTCGTTGTTTGGACCGAAAAATAAAGTCGGTATGGTTTTTCGTTAGATTTCTGCAAAACTCAAGAAATCATCGATGTTACACTTTATTGTACAAAAAGCTAAGATATTTTAAAAACTTTACTGTATAAATTTTATAAGTACTTTCTTCTTGTCTTGAAACCAATACTCTGCAGAAAATGAAAAATGATACTAATACGTTGTGTTAAGTTATACCACGATTAAGGTGGCTAAAAACACTCATTCCTTGAGCATAGAAAAAGGCAAAAAATTTTTTTACTGAAGCGATTGTTCTTCTAAAATCTCTAAAATAATAACTACCTTGTTTTTCTAAAGTAAAACTCGGTTCATACGTAGCTACACATAGAGCTTAAGATTTTTTTTTTTCGAAGCAAAGTCCATTAAAAGCTCAAGTACAATTTTCAAGATTTTAGTGTTATCCTTTCTAGACAAAGTTATGGATGATGAAAACGTTATATTTCCAATTGTGAGGATGAAGGTGGATTAATTTAACAAAAATATCTATTTAGTCAATTATTATGTCAAACCACGTAACCGACAATTTTTCGTGGATCAATTTCGTTAACCATACTCTGTTCGACCGCGAGTGTACACAGCACGTATATTAAATACCCACCCTTCTCTCGTTGGCTCTTCTTCTTCTTCTCTTATTCTGTTTCCCTTGTTCCTTTTTTGGCGCGCTATACGCGCTGCCGTACGTGATATTTTTTTTACTCGTGTCATTAACCTACTTTGAAACAAAATATTCAATGGCCACGTATACATATCAGTTCACCAGAGAGTAAAAAAAACTTACTTGATGATATCGAAACTCATAGCTAAAATGTACTCATTACGGGGTGATATCAAAAATCGACACTTTCTTTTCATAAATGATCGCTCAACACCCAAATATACGTGCAGGAAGACTCGAAACAAGCCATCTGACAACGAAACATCGTCTCAAACGCCTCAACGCCACTCATGCAGTGACAAATGAAACTCGGAAAATTCTTCACGAGCTTGCCAGTGCGAACCGCAACGAGAGCATACAAACGATTGCATTGAGCTCGATCGAGAGCACGTGCGCGCGGGGCCAAACACTTTACCCAGAGAGACCGGGACGGTAAACCGGACGGTCACCCCAGCAAAGTTGGTCGCTCTCCGCCACACGTACAATACAATACAATATACCCTGCAGCCGTACACATGTGTACGTATCTCGCTCCCACCCGGTCAATCGCGGATCTACTTCGCACCCCCACTTCTTCGGAGCAGTATATATCAAAGCGAAAGAGCTAGAGTAGGACCGAGAATAACCCAGGTGAGCAGAGAGAGAGAGAGCACACAATACTCGCACGCGTGTATATATAAGTAAGTGTGTCCTGCACTGCATCGGGTGTCTGTATGTATATATATATATGGGGGCGACGGCGACAAGGAGGAGCGAGGAGGAGAGCCACCACCAGCGGCAGCGTGCTGCACTTGCGGTCGGCCAAGCAGCGGCACCGATGACGACAGACGACTTAGTGAGTTGCCGACTGTACAGTGGTGAGCTTCGCGCGCTCCCTATACATGCAGATACACCACTGCTAGCTCGGACCCTCTCGGCATCGCGGTATCCACCCCTACTTTTTTACCAACCCCCGCGACCCGGTCCCCGGTTTTACCTTCCACGGGGTGAAATTTTGCAAGTGGCGCCAGCCGATTTCTAGCTTACGTGGGTGAGAAATCGGCAGAGTAACCACAGTGCGAATCGGCAATATAGAAACGAGGGAGGGAGAGACTGCAAGGGCAATATACACACCGCGGAGGCGAGCAGTGCGTGCAGAGGCCGGCCGGCGTTGATTCGCGGACCGATTGGGCCGCAAAATCGGCGTGACAATCACTATAACACGGCAGCCCGACCGTGTCGCACAGCGTTCGTTTACCAGTGGATGACGCGTCTACAACCATTGAGATTATTCTGGTGCATATATTATTATGGGTGTATATTCGCGTGCGTGTGAATGATATTCTGGTGCAGTGCCGATCGAAAGAGTAAGAGACGACATTGCCGGTGTGTTGTTTTTGTTGCTGTCTCTGTTATCTCGCGGTGCATCTCGTCTCGCTGCGGGAGAAGGAAGAGGCGCAGAGGACGAACCAGTGCAGCGGCGTTTCGATTTTTGTTCCTCTCGTTGTTTCTTGATTGGCCGCTTTTGCATCCGCGCCGAGGATCGCTCGACTTGGTAAGCTGCGAGTCTCTCTCTTTTTTTTTTTTTTCCTCCTTCTTGCGCGTACTAGTTACGATTACGTGCGTTAAGAACACGTTGGTATACATATAAATACGTGGATCGCGGAAGTTTTAAATTTCTTCTCAGCAAGGCGTATCGGTACGAGGAGACGTGACGAGATAGCGATACTAACGCTAACAGATAACGATCGCTCGATGGGGCGTTCTTCCATCGTTTGATCCGCGAGGGTTGTTCTCGGCAACCCCTCCACGTGTTTGTTTGCCCATGTGCCCTTTCCATTGTCGCGTTTGCACGTGTTGTTGTGAGTCGAGCAAATGTTTTATAGTTGGCGAATCCACTGACGGACGTATATATTTTGCCGATCTCGATACCCCCACGTGATTCGCATGCACAGCTTGCTTTGGAGTTTCAATGTCTAAGAACTTTTGGGGGACACATAAATACCATCGACATCAGAGATCTGCCGGTCTGACAATGCTCCATCCAAACCATTCACGTCCAAGGAAACAAAAACTCGTTTGGGTTGGTAATTTTTTTTTGTTTCGATTTTTCTTCTTATTATTTCCCCGCATTGATTAATTTTAAACGCATTGCCTTGTGTCGGTGCACGCGACAAAATAATTGCCTCCATCCATCTCCGACAAGTATCGTCAGCTACGTTCCAATTTTTTTTTTTTTTTTTTTTTTTCCCTATTGAATTTAACGAGTACTTATCGTGAAATAATTTCCAGCAAAAGAGAGCTCCGACACTGCCAGCTCAAATTGAACGATCGTATCGTCACGAGAAGGAGATAATAGTACACGAGTACAATCGTACTAAACTGTATCATCGTGTATTACACGCGTATATATATATATACCCCCATATAGGTAACACAGGCAGTGCCTATAATGTTTTCCCAGAACTGGCTTTTCCCCGATTCTGCTACTTGTTACAATGTAAGCATCGCTATACCGGGAAATGGAGGAAACAAAAGTACAGGTGTACTTGCAACGAGCATGTCGATTTATCTTTGTTACAATTAAAATCGGGGAAAAAAAAAAAGATTATCAATCAAAGCAAGTATCTTGGACGACGATTTCAGTAATTGCGTAATTGGAGTTAGCCTCGAGTTGCAGAAAAAAAAGGAAAAAAAATGACGAGTACACTCGTTTTACAATGTCAAGTTTGCAAGAGTCAGCCGAGAGTCGTGCGTTTCTATTCCTCGTACCGAGTCGTCGCAACGCTAAATTAAACCCGACCGCGCACAGAGAGAGAGAGAGCTTCTCGAGTCTAATAGCTGAGGAGAGGCATCGTCGCCGTGTGTTTGATTGTAAGATCCGCGATCGGCGCACACACTTGCGCTTAGTCCATCGAAAGCTCTCGCACATGCGTGTACAGCTCGGAAAGAGCGACTTCGTTATCGTTAGTTATTATCGTCGTTCCGTGACGGCTGGCTTGAAACTGCTCGGTTGGCTGCAGAGGAGACGGCAGATCATCGGTGCTCTGGATTCCGCTCGGAGATCATTCTGACCTCGTGACTCAAATATTGCGCAATGCCGTAGTGCTGCGGCCTTTGAAGGCTTATCTTGGAAAAAGGATTTTTTTTAGGGTATCGGCGACATTGTTTGCGAGCGAGTGACAGAAATTCTATTTATTACATGATACATTACCAATGAAAGGCGATGCTGGTTAATATTTTATACTCGTACGGGTTGGCCTGTCTATGCTACTTTTCACATTTCAATCTAAAGTACAATAAGTTGCAGTTCACATTAGTTTACACATCTAAGTGATAATGTCAATGCATCGTTCAGTATTAGAGAAATTAATTTTTCACATTAATGGGAAACCATACAAACGATTATTAAACAATTGGATTGAATGGATTTAAGTACCAATTTAAAAGTAAAACAATTAATACTTTGCTCCCAATCATTATTTAATCACTATTGAACGCTAAGATCTCAATTACGAGCAGACAATCTTTCCAATCTTATCGCTAATAAAAGTAATAAAGAATATGATAAACTTTTGTCGGGGATGAGTAAGTGATTAAATGGAGAAAAAGCTTTTATTCCATTCAATGTAACAACAACTGTATTGAAACTAATTACTATAACAATTTTTTTAAGTCTAATGATGATGAGAAAACAATCGTCTCAAGTTCCACAACAAACAATATTAATTCTTACGAATACTATTGAAAGAATAAAAAAATCTTTCAAGTTCCTTTAAATTACGAATAAAGGTGGTATGACTCATAAATGTTTATGTTTTATCTCTCATCAACTAACGATAAGACATGAAAGCCAAAATTTCGTACCTCCTCCAGTGATAACATAAAAAGTTATTTTAAAGAGAGGAGGTAATAACCTTATAACACTGATATATATTAAAGTATCTTGACAGCACGTGGCACAATAAAAAACATTGACCTCGAGAGATAATGGACAATTGAAAATCATACCTATTGCGTAAAAAATATCAGAAGTAATGACAACACACTACACTTGAATACACATACAGTTGATTGGTCGATTTTTTAAGCTTGTTTGATATTTGTAAAAAAAAACTACTTGCAAAGAAAATGACACATGTGATTAAAAATTTATTTATTCTAGTGGCTGTGCAATTGTGCAATTGTGAAATTCCAAAGATGTTTGTAAAGGAAATAATTATTACGATGCACTCCTTTTTTTCTTCTTATTCATAACGTCCAAGTATTTACCACATGGCCAATGAAAAAGGTTTCATTAAAAGATAATTAAAAAAAAAATATTACCCAAAGTACTTGTTTTTTTTTTTTCATNTTAAAGTTATTTTTTTACTTGAGAAATTGAAACATGTATCACCGAATCGAAGATTATAAAAAAAACATTGCTCGTACAACTTCATAGTAACAAATATATTACTTCTTAATTGTTTCGTGTCCATGATTGAATGGTAATACTTAAATTTTTAAATAAAAACGAAAACCATATTTTGGAACGGTAAGAAACTGTCGTCCAGAAGATTGTTTTTGATTCATCATCAACTGAAGATTAAATGATAAATTATCTTCGAAATCTGCAAAGTATTAAAGCATCTCTGAAGATTATTGGCACTGTAATGAAAAACATGGAAAATTCTGAAACAAAGTCTCATAGACCAGAGAGAAATAATGTTGAAAAATTCGTCGCTGTGTTTGTAAATATAAAAATTAATAACCATAGCGGCACCAGCTGCGTTTGCAGAACGGTAGAAAGTTCCTACATGACGAAATTAATTACAACAAAAGTAATGATACCTGCAAAAGGACCTTTATTTTGGGATTCCACTGAAAAATTGTGACAGTAAAAAATGACTTTTACCAATAATTATAGCATTGGCTAATTTTTAGAAAGACTTTTTATACTATAAAATACATTTATAAAATAAAGTAATAGTTCATTGTACTTGTTTTTTTTTTTTCATTATTTTTGTCGTCAATATTCGATTACATAAAACTACTTCATTGCATCAAAATTGCAATACATAGTAAATGAAAATATATCAGGCTTTCCGAAGAACTCACGTATTTGTCGATTCTTTTTTTTATAAAAATAAAGTCTACTTCTACGCACAGACGATTAATTCTAATTGATATAAATTTTATTGTGAATAAAAAATATTATTGTTACATATAAACTTTTCCGAATAAGCATAGTGGCAGACCACAAACTAACTAATACATTCTCATGAAGTAGGAAACAGAAACCAGTGGAACCATTGATATTTCGCTAGAATTACTCAGATTATTGAACGCAATTAGAATCACCGATTATTTGATTGATACTTAAAATATCTGTATACCCATACACCTGCGCCGAAAGAGCCGCCTGCAAAAAGAGCAGAGGGTGTTGAATGTTTGCGCGTTACACATCCATTCATCACAATGTGATATGGGTATAGTTTTGTCGCATGATTTGTATCGATAATGTCCTATGGGGATGGGTTTTTTAAAGTATCGCCATCTGTACATTATTCATGCAGGGCATAAAAAAGAGACACGATAATTACGTTACTTCTTTTCGATATTATGTTGCCATCCTCTCTACTGCCCGAAAAAAACGGTAATTAACAAATGAGTGCCATACTTCTGTTGAAGAGATATTTTTATCACAGTTCAGGGGTTTTATCTGGGCACTAAAAATTGTCAAAAAGTACAGAAGTTTCCGGTATATAAGATACATATTATAAAGTAATGCATTGATTCTCATTTTACCTCAAGTACTGGTTCATAATTTTAAATGAAATCTTATTTCAAGCACTTGTCGATTTCTTAGCTTTGGATGAGATTAAACTTTAAAATATCCTACAAAATTGTAACGTCAACAAATAATTTTTGTTTCAGCAATCACATCGGAGGACTCTCTTCCATCGATAATCTGTTAACTTACTTACACGACTTTGCTGTCGGCATGGCAGCGTTGGCACGAGCACACTCGATACTCCACAAACGTGACCGAGCCCAGGGTGTCTAGGTAACCCTCGCATCTCAAAGGAAGAGAGGAGGAGTAAAAAAAAGGGAAAGACTCGCGAGGTAGGAAAAATTTAGATAGAAACTGCAACTGTGGCAATGGCAGAGTGGGCGCAGCGAGGTAGACCAGCCGTGCCCAGCGACAACAACAGCAACGACGGTTACAACAACCCGGCGGTGTTCTACGACGAGCTGGACTCGAGCGACAACGAGTCGATAGGCGATGGCAAGCAAAAGTCAAAGAAGCGCGTCCCCAAGTGCGCTCGGTGTAAGAATCACGGGATACCGGCCAAAGTCAAGGACCACAAGGACGTGTGTCCGCAGCGGTTCTGTCTCTGCAACAAGTGCATCGCCACGTCGGTGCGGCAGCGCGAGATGAAGAAACAAACCGCCATCAGAAGGAAGTTGGTGCGGTACAAAAAGGTACGAGCGAGTTGTTGGCACATTGATTTTTCATTAGCTCCCTGTCAATTTTCGGCAGAAGGATTTTTTTCCCTCGTTATTTTCGTTAAATCGCGTTTCCTCTATCCGTGGGTTTCTTCCAGTTTTTAAATTTGGATTGACATAATGGCGATTGAAAATTAAAAAAAAGGCCGATATTGACTCGTCCAAGTGTTTGTTGGTGATATTTTTCGGTACGAATACCATATATACCATAGCGTGCAAATGATGAATTTCCGATTCCGCAAATAAATTTTACTTTATTTCGCGTCGCCTGGCGTCACGCGTATCGTGATAATGATCGGGGTCTCTTGTTTTAAAAATAATTTTCCAGCGGAAAAAATCAACCGACGATATTGCGAGCTCGAGATATTGATAGCAAAAAAATACACTATCCGTGCGGAACTTGATCGCACGTTTCTTTGTTCGCTTATTCCTGTAATCGATTTCAACTTTGTATCATCGCATGCGGTAAACTCCCATCTATACGTAACATCGCGCAATTCACACAACAATTTAACAACGCCGGCACAAGTGCTATTTTCGTTCATCAAATATTTAAAATGCAAATCGATACTTGTCCCCCCACACTCGAGTGCATTCAAGTATATCATATTCTTTCAACTCGCACATCATGAAATATGGTACATAATTTTCGGAGCGTTTCATTGGTTTTTTTCTTCTCGTAACCGCGCAGCTGACGGAAAAGCAAAAGAAGATCAGCGAACTGAAGAAACTGCCGATGCCGAGGCTGAACGTGAGCGACGAAGTCATCCCCGCCGAGTTACCTCCAAGCAACAATCCCAGCCACATGGCGAACAACAAGTCGAGTACCAGCAACGCCGTCGTCGAGCAGCCCCTGGCCAACCCTCCTGTGGCCCAAAATTCGTCCCCTATGGTGCTCAATTTGTCCGCGCCGGAGCCCGAGGACACCCTCAAGACGAATATGAACGAGTGCAATCGTATGTCAATCAATGTTTTGCTAGATATACCCATAATTTATGTAAAGTGTGCTTGTGCTGTTTTTTCGCTGGTCAAAGGCAAAATACCCAGTATCTGGCATTAGTGTAGTTTTTTGAAAAAAAAAAAAAATTATTAAAATACATTTTTTTCGCATTTTCACATATTTTTGTGATTTTTTAATTAGACCTCGATGTTGTTAAATATTTTGGATTTATTGTGTCACTAATTTGAAACGTCTTAGTTTTGGTCCGCAACGCGGCTTGGATGAATAATGTTTAATTCTGAGTATTGAAAAAATATCAAAAAATTTTAGCAAAAAACATTTACAAAAAAAGATTTGGGCTATTTCGATTTTATGACACGTTAGTTTCCGAATCGAGGACACTTTGTGTTATTTTTGTCGCTGCTTGGAATAATATGCCACTTTTAGGTCCTCTGGTACTGGGTACTTTACCTCTGCAGTGAGTTGTATCGAGTTGCAACATTTTTTAACATCCCGAGTATTTTTTTTCTTCTCGGCAACACCGATTTTTCAAATCGCGCTCTAATCCTCCTATTAACGATACGTCGATCCAAAAGTCAAGTAGAGCAACGGTTACTTGGCACAATAGTGCTTTTACGGAGCTTTTGCGAGCAGATTTTTCAAAGGCAGTTAATTCATACGGCGGAAATCGTTGAATGAAACACAGGCAGATGAAACGAGACAGACCACCCCGGCGGAGCGCTTCTCTCGCGATACAAAGCTCCGTATTCTTGAGTTTCTCGGGGAAATCATAACCGATACAGTTAACGACCGACACTCGAGCGAGAGCTGTATAAGTTATAAGTATATTATAACGAAGTAACGCAAGAGCTCATGAATGATTTACTGTCCCTGTTCGCGGTATCGATACCATTTTGTCCCCGTTGCCGATGCGCGCACTGCATATTTTTCACATCCTTATTTTTTTTTTTTTTTTTTCGCCAATGACCAATAAGTTTTCCCATACGATGACTCACGAAGGAAAACAGTCGCGCTCGGTGCGAACAATAAGACTCTGTACTCGGTTCACTCGGTTGTTAAACCAAGTTTAAGATGAAAGCTAACTACTTAATCATAAATATACTGTATGTCTCCGCGGATCGGACGCGCCCAACGAAGATCGAGGAGAAAACGTTACGATCTCCGCGTAACCGATCGTTTGATTCTTCCATTCGCGCGTATAGCTGTAACGTACAAAGGGCCCACAGTACATAGTCGCGAGAGTATAACATACACAGTGTGCACGGCTCACGCATATATATATGCTCGGATAAATAATATGGGTGCACAACAGAATTTCAGGCAGCACATAAGGCTGTATATATACGGCGCTCTTTCACTTGGCAGTACATACATACATACGAGCAAATGCTTAAACCCGGGCTTTTACGAGCGCGCGCTATTGGCCGGCCGGCCATTCGAAGCCGGCTAATATAATACGGACTTACGGAGCCAAAACCTAGAAGCTGCTCTCTTTGTGCCCCCTGTCCGGCTCTCTTTTCTCTCCGGGCGCGTCTCACGGCTCTTTCCGCTCTCTCTCTCTCGGTCTTGGTTTTACGAGCGGTCTCGTTTGAAAAAGTCGACTCTTTGCTTGGTTCCCTCGCTCGCCCCGAAACTCGTCGGTGACTATTTTCAATACGAGAATTAGACGTTTTGCCGGCGTGTCACGATTTCGACTTGGTTAGGAGATAATCGTAGCGTCTGATTAAAATTGCCGATCTCCAATAACTATACTTTGGCCATTTGTTGCTTACGGGCTTGTGTTTTCATGATTCGCCATTTGAGGTGACGATTCTTTTTGGGTTTCCGATTCTATTCGAAGCAAGTCCTAACTGCCTAAACAGATCGTAAATGTTTCTTTGCACGCATACGAGTATTAAATGTCTTCTTGGTTTTGGGAAGGGAAAAATGATTCCTAATCCTCGTTGCGTTCACCACTACCATTTACTTGCCACATAATCGTCGTAGCGGTGCAAAGGAGAAAAAAAAAATTGTAGTCCCGTGCTTTTACGACGTCTAAGATTTTGTTGCGTCCCCGAGTGCGACGTGTTGCTCACAATACTTTGAACACATGAGCGTTCCAAAGTCGCACGGCAACGCTGCGCTGGGGTGATTTTTTACGACTTTCTTGGGCCCCGGGGCTGTGACATTCTTTGAAGGGTCGCGCTTCACGTTAAGTGATCGGCGCGACTTTTACTCGAGGATTCAATTTCGTTTTGGTTAAGGAAAAAAATATTTCCCTTTTTTTTTCACTTCCATACAATTTATGCCGGACTATTGGATGTCCCAAATTGTGTGTATTTATATACTTGATGGCTCGTGTTCACAGTTCGAAACAAGGATTTCGTTGTACTCCAAATATCTGATCGTATCACTGTTTAGTAAAAAACAACAACTGTTAGAACAACTTTGATGGTCTCATTTCAATCGTAAGTTTCTTTATGACGAGGTACTTTGGAGTTTAACGTTACTGAAATTCCAAAACTTTTCGCGTTCTCTGCTAAACACGTGTTCTGTGTGTAGTCATAATTTTCAGCTCAATCTGACTCTTTATATATTTTTAGAATTGATGTTTTGTCTTTTATTTCATTAACTTTGTATTAATAACTCTACTTTTTAGCTGTGTAATGATGTAACCAACGATAAATTTTTTTTTGTAATTCTATTCGGTGATTAAAGCCTTTTGATCTAAATTGTAATTGATACCTTACTACCACCGTCATTACATGTATATAGTACCTAGAATCTGCAATCGATTATTAAATTTTATTTCTTGTTGTAATTGTAATCGTGGAACGATTTTTTATTTCTGCCCTTTGGTACAGGAAATTCAAATATCCAAAAAGCTACAGAACATTATTTCAAGTATACTGAATCCGTTACCAACATTTTTCACTCTTTGTGTGTTAATCGTTTGATAAACAAACTGTTAAATTTAGTAGAGCTGGTAAAATGGTTAATGAAATATCATTTTTACTTTTGGAACGCTTATCAATATTGTGCTATAACGCATTTTATTGCAAAATTTTAACCGCACTCTTTCGACGTAATGTATCAACTTGAATTTACTGTGAATTACCTCAATTGAAAGTTTAAAAAAGGTGCTATCTCGACTTTGAACTGAATAAAGGTACTGAGACGTGTATTCTCCTAATGAGATAATGTCCACCTCCTATGGACACTGGTAGCGATTAAGCCAAAAATATTTAAATAGCATGTTAAATTTGAGCTTCCTGTGACCAACAATTTTTGACGGGCACGCAAAATACACGATAATAAAATGTTTCGGCTATAAATTTCCCAAAACAAAGGATCATTAAGAGTAAATGAGAGCGCGCGAGAGTGCGAGTTAAAAACATCAAAGCTTGCCAAAATACATTTGTCATGCGTCTCTCGTCGTTTCCCCATATTATAGTCGCCCTGTCCAAGAGTGAAACATCACTATACCCAGCAGCAGCAGCACAAAAGCTTTGTCATCGAAACAGCTATGCGCGGTATTCAAGAGTTTCAATTTCGCGCGACAACAGTATCGTATCCTACAAAGCAAATCCGCGACCCTTTCGCACACTCCACTCGAGGGGCAACCGGGGGTGGGAGGATCGACCTGCAGCTCGTCCAGTACTCTCATAATCTTCCTCTTGCTGTCCATTGTCATTTCCAAGTGAATACAGTACTACTGGATGACCTCATGAAACGCAACGCGTATACCCCGAACACGCGATGTCGACAAGGATGGGTATACTTTCGCGCTCCGCAGGACACTGGAAAATCACTCACATTGGGCGCAGTATCCGATATTCAGCTCTAGTTCGGGTTACTTTTTTTTGTTTTGTTTTGCTTTGAAAAATGTTTTCCTCGAAAAATTTCCTCCTCGCGTTTCTGTCCTCCCACAAATGCCATCCAGAGGGAGGAAAAAAAAAATGTTCAAAAGAAAAACTCGCTCGAGTATAGATCGAGCGCGACATTTTCGCGAACTCGAGTACACGGCCCAGCAATCACAAAAGTATTTCGCGTGTGTGCGCATCTTGTTTACACAAGCGTACATTTCGCTACTTCCGTTCGTTCGATCGCGCGAGCTTCCAAGAAATCGTATCGGGGCGATAATAATTTCGTAGTCACAATATTACGTGCCTCGGTACACGTATACAAGCGCGGTGCATGCGAGCGTGATGTTTATACGGAGTCCAGGCCAGGCCGCCCACCTTGGGCGTGTGGGTACGTGTTTTCACGTACGAGACACTCTGATAAAAGCTCCGCTGTGTTTGCTCATTCGCCACCGATCCGATTACAATTTACGTTAACACAGGAAAGCTTTATTGTGCGATACCGAGCCACGTAGCTCTTAATGATTAAGTACGCGCACAGATGATAATTTTATCAATTGTTAGTTGATACTTTGAGAAATGAAGTTGACACGATACTTTTACGCATGTCTAAGTGTATATGTAAAATATGTGATTCATAACAGATGTCTGGAGAGACATTTTTTTTTTTTCTTTAACTGCACACACGTACTTTGAACTTTGCTGTGATTAATATTATTGTTTCATTATAGGTATTTATGTTTTGAATGAAATTTGTATGATGCTTAAGGTGTATGCTTATTATAAGAGGGATATTTTAAAACATAAATGAGCGTCTGAAAATTGTGACCAAATAATTTACACGATAACGTAAAAAATTAAGTATTTTACAAAAAAAGTATAAAATTTCAGTCAAATGACTATATAGGGTATAGAAAACAGGGATAATAATGTATTTCGTGACTAATAGTCTGGAAAAAAGAACAATCGGTGTAGAAAGCGATCCCTCACCACGTATTCTATATAAATATAGCTTACCCAAAAGATTTTAAAGCAGCAGTATAGTAGTAGTTGTAAGGTAGCAATCATTAGAGGGTCAATTATACATACCACAAAAGGAATTATTATATTTTCTCTAGCAGTAATCATCGACATATGCATATGAGCGTGTTCTTTTGTGTCGAAACAGATGGAAACGTTTGTCTAGAAGGAACACGTGAGGTGACGTTGCTTTCAGAAAATGAAGAAATTACAAAGATGCTTTTTACTACCTTTACTAAAAAAATTTACATCATGGACATCTAATCTGCAGGTAAAAAAAAATGCCGATGCTCTTCACGAAACCTTTCGTTGTATGTTACTCACGCGACATCTCGCTTCTCTTTCTTTCTTTACTTTTTCTTTTTCTTCCTCACGTTTCCTTCATCACCCCCATAATTTGCTACATTTTATTGTTCGTGCTTCAAGGTATCTCGTGAGTTGCAAAGAACAAACATTAGCAGTGTCCAAATAATATCTCTGTTCATTGGGGGAAAAAATATACCTTACAAAAAAATTTGTGTCAACTATACCTTAGCAGTTTCAACACAAACCATAAAAAACAAAGATTTTTAATACGATAATCTTTGTGATTTAATCACCTAATGCCTCGAAGAAAAAGTGTGAGGGAAACTTTGTCCTCATATTTATCCACATCGTTTACAATGTCGTCTTACCCCATCCACGCGGCTCTTTCTACCCTATACTTACACTTTTTCCAACTTTCTATTCATTCCCGCTACCTGTTACAATACATCTTTACACGATTATTTCCTTCACTTTTTCCCTCGAACCCCACAGGTACTTTCCCAACCCCCCAACTTTCACCCTGTGGCTGGCTTACGCACACGTATGAGTGTACAAAAAATTTGCCCAAGTCACCTGTTCAACAACAAAAAAGTCAATTGGATTCTTTACAACGTAGAGCGTAACACTCAAACACTGTGAACACGCGCAGGCGCTCACACACACACACACACATTTTTATAATACACGCGTTTGGAGCACGAGAAGTCCCCACCCTCCCATACCCTGTTTCTCTTTCTTTCTTTCTTCTTTCTACATCACACGCCTTTCTTCGCTCGTTTTCCTTTGCGTTATGCGTTCGGTCGCTGCTGTGGTAATACAACTGGTAGCCATTTATATTTTAAAAAGCATTCTCCAGAGCTTGGGAAGTAGGCGGTCGCTAGAGAGAATGGCTTCGATGCCATTGGCTCTCGTACCCCGACTCCCGACTCTCTCGTGCTATACATATATATACACATATCATCTGTATATACGTATACTCATTTGCGAGCACAGGTACACGTTATAAAGATATACACAAACTTGCGATTGTTTAGTAGTTCCTATTGTTTCTAGATGGTCTATTATTGTCTATCACTATAGTCTAGGAATTTAAACAGATAAAATACTTGTTTTTCTTATTGTTATGTCGTCAAAACAATTACCTAGATTACGCAGAAACTACTGTTGTTGCCAAATTTTCTATCATAAATTTTCTTTTTTTTGCTAAGTTATTGGACTTTTTATTTTTTAAAACTCATTTTACTCGTAAGTAGATGTTCTTCAACGTGGGACTCATTGTAATGGGTCATTTGAAACAAATGTATTCCGAAATCTGAAAAAAATTTTAACGACAAAAAGTATTGGAAACTACGATATTTTTTTTTTATTCCTAGATCAAATAAAGTGGGAGTTTATCTATAAGATGAAGAATAAGCGAGTCAAATACATGTGTCTTACTCTTGTTTCCTCAGCTCACTTTAGTTACTTTTTTAACAGATATTACGGGATCATTAAATCATGTACAAAAATGTTAACAATAAACCATATGTCTAGAGAATGCAATGAATAGTCTACGATATACTTACTTATATTATTTCGGGATTAGACAATCGGATTTTATAAATGTAATACAAAGATGTTGCAACGACTGCTGATGAATGTTGTTTTACACTTGCAAAATCTAGTGGTGAAAAAAAAATAAGAAAAAATTGAAAAACTTTTTTAGTTACAGAAACGGAACAAACGGAAATTTTATTAGGATTCAGTTCACGGCTGATGAAACGATTTGGATACTCCTCAGAAGCATTGTCCTTGATTTACGTGATTTTGAAGGATACCAAGAAGGACGTCGAACTGGCAATGAAGCGTATAATCGAAGGTAATTATTATTTTTATCTTTATTCGTTCTTGAATTAATTTGAACTTTTGACTTGCAACATTTTATTAAATACCATTTTCATAGATGTGATAGATTTTCCGAATTTTCAATCAATATATATTTTGATATTAGTCAAAACTTCAAATTAACCCAATCAACATGTTTAGTGAACTTTACTTAAAATCTTTATGCTTTTATTTTAAAAAAAGATGTCACATCCAGAAGCTTATTACCACGCCAAAAGATACTCAATTATTTAATTTTAAATTTCATTAAAGTAATTTTTTGAGCTTGACTATAAATTTTTCTTTCAATTTATTAAAAATGTCTGTGATGATATAGTACCTGAATTATAAAATATATTTATTACATTTTTCAACTATTAAAGTTATTTTTTTACTTGAGAAATTGAAACATGTATCACCGAATCGAAGATTATAAAAAAAACATTGCTCGTACAACTTCATAGTAACAAATATATTACTTCTTAATTGTTTCGTGTCCATGATTGAATGGTAATACTTAAATTTTTAAATAAAAACGAAAACCATATTTTGGAACGGTAAGAAACTGTCGTCCAGAAGATTGTTTTTGATTCATCATCAACTGAAGATTAAATGATAAATTATCTTCGAAATCTGCAAAGTATTAAAGCATCTCTGAAGATTATTGGCACTGTAATGAAAAACATGGAAAATTCTGAAACAAAGTCTCATAGACCAGAGAGAAATAATGTTGAAAAATTCGTCGCTGTGTTTGTAAATATAAAAATTAATAACCATAGCGGCACCAGCTGCGTTTGCAGAACGGTAGAAAGTTCCTACATGACGAAATTAATTACAACAAAAGTAATGATACCTGCAAAAGGACCTTTATTTTGGGATTCCACTGAAAAATTGTGACAGTAAAAAATGACTTTTACCAATAATTATAGCATTGGCTAATTTTTAGAAAGACTTTTTATACTATAAAATACATTTATAAAATAAAGTAATAGTTCATTGGCATAATTATTGATACTTATAACATTCGGTTTTCTATGAAATATAAAAATAAATTATATTAAAAAAATTATTCACTTAAGTACTCGTTTTTCTTTTTAATTTCTCGATGTTATTCTCTCTCTCTCTCTCACTCTTGGTAGAGAATTTTTTTTAAAAGAGATAAAAAATATAATGGAAAAATAAAGAAAAAATGTGGGGAAGGGTGGTTCATCGAAAGATAAGTAATGATAGTGTATCCGAGAGAAGCAAGAACCGGTTCTGTTTTTTGTTACCAAGGGATATTAGGTTGTATACTCAAGATGGGGGAAACAGCCAAGCAAAACTGCCGGGATGATACGTAATTTGTCAAGTAGCCACCTTCGCTGACTACCGTTCTTCCCTCCCCTTATAATCAATTTATATCTTGTTTCGTAGTAAACACTTGTCATCGCTAAACTGTTAGCTTCTTTCCCTTGTATTAAGGTGATTTTAATTTATTATGAACGAACACTTAAAAATGTATATTAGGTTTTTTAATTTATACTAATGTTAGGACTTGAGAAAATATAAGCATAAACTATATTATATACAAGATAAAAAAGAAGTACCTCCAACTGTTCTCGCATTTCGGTTTACTCTCGCCGTCCATCAACAACGTTAAAATACACCCTGACAGCACACATCCTATAAGTATTTGCCTATGTGAACGAAAGTTGGCGCTGTAAGTTTTATTACTAAGTACATGTAGTTGTCACAAATGTATTTCTCCATCAGTTGTTTACTAGGAAAACTGTATCTATTTATTTACTCAATGACACATAAGATATACCCTTTTTACAGACTATAATATATGTGTAGCGTTTCTTACTTTACTTTTATTTTGAACGACGTAGAATACGAGTACATAGAGTCGTGTTATTACTTTCCTATAACATCTTTATTAACTTTGAATACATTTGTGAATGATATCTTATTATGGAACATTTTATTACTTCTTTAAATGCGTATACATATTAGGTATCGTTGTATTATCTAAAATTCTCTATTCGTGCACTTTTCTCATGAAACCAGATTACTTCAAATCAATTGATATAACATTACGTGCAGTCTAAATTCATTATAAAAGCACTTTGTACAAATCATGCAATAAATGTAGTAATTTAAATGTATAGTCTGCAAACAAAAGTTAATCATACGTGGGTGGAGAATAACTTATTGAAATGGTCAGAAAGTTATGTATAAATAATGCAAGATTATCGAGAAGTTCTCTTGTAAGTTTGATGATTTGCCAACGATTTTCATTTAAACAATTAAAAAATCAAACTTTTCAAGGTGATTTTTAACAGTTACGAATCTGATGCGTCATTCTCTAATATTTTTATAAATATATATATAGAAAAAAAAAATTAAATTCCAGAGAAGCTTGCAACACGTACAATCTACGTTTCTTTTTCTCGCTTTCTTAAAAAATGTATCGAACAGTCACGAGTAAGAAAGTACTTTTCTGCCAGCCAAAGCTATATGCACAAGGCATTACACCAGCGTCGTAGCAAAAGCACACACATACTACACATGTATAATAAATAATGCAACGCGATAGCACTGCACAGGCGTCAAGTGTACGTATAGGTACAAAGAGAGCAGCGCAGTAAATATATGTACAAGTGAACATGAGTGTTGCGGCGATAAGAGCACAGTATGCCTTACTCGCGTTCGAGTCAAATAAGTTTTCTAAACCATCGAGCCTTAAAACCACGGCATTTTCAACTCGTACAGCTATTTTACACACGGCTTGGGACGCACGTGCGAGTTTTCCTTCGTTTTTGTTTGTCGATCATCTTCCTTCTATTCTGCACGCGCGCGCTGATTGCAGTATAACTTGCTCGCTGCACTCACACTTGTATACTATATACTTAATACCTATATACGTAACGGACTTACACGCGCGTCTACGAACAGTATATGAATCATTTGTTACAATGTAGAGCGCTGGCGTGGGCTATCGTACATACATCGGTACAATAGACCACCACATATACGTGTAATTCTATTTCCCTAGTGTCGCTCGATGCCATGCCGTGTACAATACACACACACACACTTACATTTGTTGCACTTGCGAGCTACGTTGCCCAGTCTGTATCTTATCGATTTCCTTGAATTTCCCCGAACGATTTTAACCTACCCGCCGCGGGTGTGTGCTTGCAGTATACCGTCCACCTGCAAAAATTATGAGGCTCGTGCTTGTGCGTCGTATAAGTGACACACATGCGCGCGTGCACGTGCCGTTTCCGCTTACCCGTAAACCAAACAATTGAGGAAAATTCAACATTTTAGCGAGCCACGCGTGCGACTGGCACTCATTTATTCCTTTGTCTCGGCTCTCCCTCCTCCTCCTCCTCCCTTCTAGACCCGTGAAAAGAAAAAAAAAAAAAGCCTCTACATAGCACGTCGTGAAACAAATGTACTGCACCTACACTATACTCCAGGGGATGATAATAAAGACATTACAGGTACGTCGTCCGCATTAATTGGACGTTACTGCATTATATACTGTCCGGCGGTTATAGACCGGCTAGTCCGAGCTAAATAAAGTCGTCAGCAGCCGTCTAAACTAACGTAGTAATAATTCACACACGCGCTGGATGGGTGTATAGCCGTGATGGGTATATACATTACGCGATGGTGTCTCTTTTCGCGCTCCAGTTTGGCCGATGGCACTTTGCGCGACTCTATGTTTACCGGCCAGTCACAATCTTCGTTCAATTACTAGTCCGGCGTTTCTATTGGTTTTTCCAGAGACTTTCTACCGGGTGCCGTAGAAATTTTAGCTCGACGCTTCTTGCATTCCCCCCCCCCTTCGGGCCGTTAATGATACTCCTCGCGCAAGGAGGTACAGCAATCTTTCGTGCCACTTGTGTGCGATAACCTCGTGTACCTGTAAATGGTCATTATTTGTCAAACCTCCTGCTTTCTATTGATAACCGACTTATCGGTCCCCAAATTAACGACAATCACTCGGTCTTTTTACTTATTTTCTTTCATTTTTACCCGGTTGCTATTGCCATTGTACAATACACGCGACATTTCGACAATGTGTCATTTATTGCCAGCCGTTTCCGAGAGAGCGCATCTATTCCGCTAATAGAAATTGACTCTGGCTTTCGTATCGGAACCTCTTTTGTCTACTTTTACATGCAACTCAATTGAAACTGCGTACCTATACATGTACTCTCTGATTTCTTTTGGCAACTCCTTCATCGGCTCTGTTTGATTAGTAGCCATTGAAGAGGGAAACCATCGTGATTGACTTTCTGTTCAAGATCGGCGGACTCGGCAACTCTCTTTTACCATGGTTTTCTCACGAAAACTTGGAGCTATGCGAGCTTGCAACCATAAGAAATACAGTGTCCTTGTCCACGACTGTCTCTCGTATCGTTTTCCTCGAAGAGAACTGGTCTGCAGTTACAATTATTACGATACGTAGCGTCCACTTGCAATGACATCTTGATTGCGAGCGTCGTTAAGTGTAACATGTGTCCGCGTATATAATTTGCTTGCAGCCACACGGTTTAGGACTGTCGCACCAACACTCGCGTATTTATATTGGTCGAGGTGTCGGTAAATGTATAGTTCAGGGAAATGGTATTTCTTTTATGCATTGCATGTATACCAAGTCGGGGATATTGTTGTCAATCATGTAGGTGTTTGTGCACTCAATTTGTTTTTGTCGTTTATTTAACAATAGTCTGACTGAAAAATTACCAATGAAACATTAAAACCACGATATGGGTATGATTGCGCGCAATATAATGGGATCCTGCGACTGTCGGAGGAATAACGAGGCTGCGTTTCTCGTAAAAGCGACTTGAATTATAGATACACTTCTCGATAGTGCAATAAATGATGCATTCTTCGGATAGTAGTGTTGCTGATCAAAAGGAAGGGGAAAAAAAAGAAAAAAAATTCCAGATGATTGACAGTAAAAAGCTCCGTTTCCAGGTAATGATACAGCCA